TACCTCCCTGCCTTTCTCAAAAGTTCTCCCTCTGTTATCAACCATYCCTCTGAAACAGGTATTGGGCATAGGGTGGGCAAGGGTCTGGGGTGATCTGGCCCAGGAGCCCTTTGTTAGACCACCAGTTTTGCTCCATCCTTTTTGAAATAAAATGCCCATTAGTAAATTCTTAGACTCTTGAAAATAAAACTCCTCCCTTTTCTTCAAAAGGGGAAGAGGTGTACAGTTTTACATTTTGTGACATTAATGGGAATACCTTTCTGTTTGAGTTAGCCATTGTATTGAGATAGATTTGTTTTTAAACCAAATTAAAGAAGTATCCTTTATTTAGAATTTTTTGGAGGACAGGAAATAGAGAAGATGTTACATTTTTAAATCAAAGATCTTTTAAGCATCTCATCAGATAATTATGTTTTTTTATATTACATTTTGATGTTACAAATTATATCAGGACATAGTTTAATATTAAAACTTTTTTCTCCCTAGAATGAATTGTGCTTGGTCACAGTAGTCTATTTAAGTTTAGTAATGGATCATATTTGTTGAGCTTTACATTATTCCTCATGCTTGTAAGGTCTTAAAAGTCTATGTCATTTATTTGAGTTTTTGATTTATTCATTCTTTAGTGAGAATTTGATTCAGGCGTGTATTTGTTCATAAGCAGATTTGCTCCAGTTTACCTTGCATTACATCATTGCCCACCTTATCCACCCATATACTCCTCCTTTTATATCCTAAGCTGGAGATCTATTGATGGTCATTTTTATCACCTGTTCATCAATTTAGTAGCCTAAAGAGAAAGAGTTGACTAATTTCTCCTTAATCCTTATTAACCTGCAGTCTACATATGTTCSTTAAAGATGACTTGATTTTTACTATTATTTGAGCTAAACACCAAYAGGCATCCTTGACTTCTGTCTTCCTTTCACTTCACATACTGTCTAGCAGAAAATCCCATCTACTTGTTAACACAACTTTAAATTTGTATATCAGAGTCTATATCCTAACTTTTGTTTGTATGTCATTACTTTGCTGCTTAAATTGGGAGTTGTGTAATACGTTTAAATTATCTCCCAGTGTTAGACATCCTTCCACTGTTATTCCATTGCTCTATCRGTATTGAATGTTACTCTGGCCATGCCTAATGACAATTGGATTTTTTTTCCCCATGGTTTTAGTGACTTCCTCTTTTTTTCTGGATACCTGAATGATTGAATGACCCAACCCCTTCCCTCACCTCAGCTCACCTCAACTCAACTCACTTCACCTCAYCTCACCTCAGTGTACCTTTCCCTTTCTCTTTTTTAATTTYCTTAAAGTCCACTAACTTACCAGGCTATATCTTGGTGTTGACACTTTAGGTTCAGTTTACCCTGGGATATACTGTACTCTTGACATTTTTACATTCATACTTCTTTTCTGTCAGGAAGATGTTCTTACTCAGCATCTTTAAAGGTATTCCCTGTTAGATTATTTCAGTTTTCTCTTCAAGAAATCAGTCATTTAAACTTATTTCCATTGTATTTTCCACATTCTTCTCATCTGTTCCCATGTCCATTGCTGCATTTAAATTTAATTTTATTTTTACTTATAGATGGRCACATTATCTTTATTTATTTATTTTTATGTGGTGCTAAGGATCAAACCCAGTGCCTCCTCACAGGTGCAAGACAAGTGCTCTACCACAGGGCCCCAGCCCTAGCCCCTTATTACTGCATTTTTAATGGATCTTTCCCTGTTTACTGTTTTCACTTGTACTTGAATTTCTATGACAGTTTTATTCCTCTGCTTTTTTTCATTAGTTCTGCCCATTCATGTTTTAACTTTCTGGTTGCTCTTCTGTTTCTTCCCTAAGTTCATATAGCTTTATCTTGTGCACAGATCCTAATGAAGGTACTTGCTCTATTAAATATATTTTTTTTTAATTAATGGGGAACAACTTGGTCATGCTTTGAAGTAGTTAATGGGAACATTTTTAATATATTCTATACTTTTCCTAATTTTTAAAAATAGCAACTTTGGATGTATCTTTCCTGCAGCATTTATTTTGGGAGAGATGTGAGTTTTTTCATCATCAACTGTTTATAAGAGGCTCATGTTTTAAGAGAAGCAAGGATCAGGTTCCTGGTCAGCTGGAAGTTTCTATAGGCCCCAATGTGTATGTGTTTGTCCTCTTTTCAGGCTATCCTTTCATCCTTCTACCTTACTATGGACGTGGTGGATTTTCTGTTTGTTAAAAATTGTCTCTGTAACCTAACCAATAATTAATAATTGATTTTTCTGTGACTTCTTATTCTGCCTTGCTCCTTATACTTCTTAGAACCATACTGGAGCCAAGTTTTCCCATGTTGCTTTCTGATATATTACATTTCCATTTTTGAGAACTCTAGATTAAGTTTGGCATCTTATTTATATTCCTCATTTTTTAGAAATTTACTTGATTTTTCTTATAATGGTTTGTTTTAGTCAACGTTTTGTTGCTGTGACTAAAATACCTGACAAAAACAATGTAGAGTAGGGAAAATTTATTTGAGACTTATAGTCTCAAATGTCTCAGTCTGTAAACAGCCTACTCCATTGCTCTGGGCTCAAGGTGAGGCCCACATCATGGCAGAAGGGACCAGCAGAGGAAAGCTGCTCATCTCATGGCAACCATAAAGCAGAGAGTGAGAGAGAGAGAGAGAGAGAAGGTGGGGGAGAGCACCCTCTACCCCTGGGAGGGCAGATGTATCCATCCAGGCTGTGTTCCTAGTGACCCGCCTCCTATAGCCATGCACCACCTGCCTATAGTAACAACCTAGTGAATCCATGAAAACTAGGATGAGCTGATTAGGTTATAGCTCTCATGATCTATTCGTCTCACCTTTGAATATTCCTACATCAACAGGAGATTTGGGGGAACACCTCATATCCAAACCCTAATTTATTTATTTATTTTTAAGACATTTATAATTTGTTTCTTATCATGAACATCCATGGTATACTTTCTTGATCTTCCCCTTCCCTAGCAGTGTTTGTCCTGTTTTCACTATTTTTTGGCTGCCCTTTAACTCATTTTTGCAGTTAAAATTCTGTGATATGTTACTTCTTTTTCTTTGGTTTTGGGTCATTTCTAAGATGAGAAAGGAGGATGCCAACATACATCACAGTCTTTAAACTAGACTTCTTTCATTTTGGTTCCATTTGTATCTTACAAAAATGATTTTGCTATTGTAAATCATGAATGGAACATTTCTCTAAATTGTTGCTAATGAGTTTTCTTTTGTTTTTATGTGCTTTTGGTTATTGTTTCCATGTGCTAGGGAGTGACATTGAATTGCTATTTCAGAYAGGTAAAGATGTTTGCCAAACATCTTCTCTCTATTTATTTATGTATGTTTTGAATAGGCAACATACAATTGTATCTAAATGTCATAGAATTTTAAAACATGTTAGAAAGTAATCAGTAGATTAATGAACCTTCCATGTACCTGTCACTTATCTGAAGAAACAGTATTTTGCTATTTTTTTATCTCCCCCCATACAACACATACACATTATTATACTTTAGGACCGTAAGACAAATTTTAGAGACTCCATTTTACCTATAAACAATTCAGTATATAACTCTGACAGATAAAGACCTATTTGAAATAACAAAAATGAACAAAAACCCAAACCATTTCCACTGTACCATTACTATATTTAATAAAATTAACAAAATTTCTCTAGTCTTATCTAGTAGCTATTACATATTTTTCTGTGTGACTGAAAAACACTTTTACAGTTTGAATCAATATCAAATACTCTTCACATTTGCTTAGCTGTTCTTTTAAAATTTGTAACAATTTCCCCTTCACCTCTTTTTTTYAATGCCATTTTCCCACTAAAGATATAATATATGTAATAATGTATAGGATTCTCCAAATTCTGGATTTGGTTAACTATTTCCACCTTGTGGTATCTTTTAATATATTTCTCTAATTCCTGTATTTCCTATCACTGATAATGAGATAGCTATAACTGATTAGATTTAGGTTCAGTGTTCTGGGCAAGAATCAGTGTGTATCTTGCAGCACTGTAGGAGACCTTTGAGTCCTGCATTTCTTCACGGTGTTATAATAGATCAGTGGGTTAGCTGTTCCCACCCTGACAGTGAGATACCTAGGTATTGACATTTTACCCAAAGGTCATTTCCTAGATTAATGGCAGAATTATTATTCTGTCATTCTTTTTGTAATTAATTAATTGTTGATAGAAAAGTATGGCACTTTGGCATTTTCAAATTTGCTGATGTTCCCTGATGAATTTTTAGAATAAGTAGCAGTTGAGAGGATGCATTAGTATTCTTGTGTGTGTTTTAGTCAGTGTTTTTGCCACTGTGACTAAAAGATCTAACCAGGACGACTATAGAGGAGGAAAGGTTTATTTAGGGGCTCCTAGTTTCAGAGGTCTCAATCCATAGATAGTGGGCTCCATTCCTCAGGGCTTGAGGTGAGGCAGGACATCATGGCAGAAGAGTGTGGCAGAGGAAAGCAGCTCACATGATGATCAGAAAACAGGGAGAGAGGTCTCCACTTTCCAGATACAAATATTTGTCCCAAAGTCATGTCCCTGATTCCCATCTCCTCTAACCATACTCTCTCTCTTCAGTTAGCACTCAGTTAATTCCTATCCTAATGTACTGATTGGGTTAAGATGCTTATAACCCAATTATTTCTCCTCTGAACCTACTTGCATTGTCTCACATGTGAGCTTTTGGGGGACACCACACATTCAAACTAACAATGTGGATTTAGAAGGGAAAAATGTAGATTAGAAATTGTCCATTGGTCTTTGAAAAAATAATTTCAGTTAGAACAACTTGAAGATCATTCAAAATAATTAAAAATATAACTTCATAACTTGTCCTATAAGATCTGTATTTCTGTGTGTAGGTATTACTTTAGTTCCTCAAGAATGCATCTATACTTTTAGGACATATTTTCCAAAATATACTTTTATTTTTCCCCTTTACATAGGTTATTAAGTGTGGTATGCTGTGATCTGGACACTCTTCTCCTGTTAGAGGCTCAGTATCAAGTATCCAGAATGTTACTACATGCTCAAGAAGAAAATATCTTAGAGATTTCCGAGAACCACAGGTTAAAGTAAAGGGTGAAGGAGGGAGGTGGGCATTAGAACTTGATATAATAACTTTTTTGTTAACTGTTAAGAAAGTAATTTTCTATAGTTTGTTTTCTTAATTTCTGAATTCAGTAGGTTTAAGTAATAGTAAGAAGCAATTAAAGCATAAATCACACAGAATGATAATATACATTTTTGGAGAAGTCTTCACAGAGTACTACTTTCAAAGTCTGAATTTTTTTTTTTTTTTAGGTTAAGCCTAACTTTATTAATGGTTCCATGAAATTGTATCACTTCATAATTCATGTTTAAGATGACCCATTGAATGAAGTGTTTGATTTTGTGTCCCTTATAGAGGCACTTTTTCTTCATCCTTTAGTTATTTTAGCTCATAGTCATAAATTCTGATTATTTGCAAAATAAATAATATTTCCTGTTAACATGTGCCATTACCTCAATTTGACTGACATTTACTAATAATATATTCAATAACTGACATTATTTTCATGTGTGTACCTTAAAATAAAAGAATATTTCGTCTCTATCCTAGACAAGTCTTGGAATGTTATAGCATATATTACTTGATACTCTAGGTTTGATGTGAAAGAAAAGGATCAACTGTGGCAGAATATGTAGGCTGCTCATAAGCAATACTTAAATTTTAATTGAATGCCCTGTGTCTAACATATATGAGATCTTGGGTGAAAATATGATAAAGTTACTGTAAAAATAATGTATTAATTTCATTTCTTCGGGTACAATAACATTAATCAAGGAAATATTCTGTTATTAATCTCACTAATCTCATTATATTAATTTTTCCCTCTCTAGTAAAGCCATAAGATACAAAATTAATTTAGTTATTTGTATTTTAGGTGATACATTGGCAAATAATCTATTTTCCAAGCATTTCTACTTTTTCTTTAAAATCCAGTGATGTGATTTAAAAATGAAATCATATCCTATCAAGGTGGTAACAGAATTGATTTATTTTTTTTCAGAGGCTTTATAATTGATGGCTTATCAGTAGAAAGAAACCATATTCTTGTAAGAATAAATCTTGTTGGTGGGTCATCGGAACGGATTTTGCCTCCAAGGATACTGGAGAAGGTGATGTGATAGAAGAGGGGGGAATATTTATGTGACATGTTTTGAAGCAAGATAGTGAACTCAGGTGACACTAAACAACATCTCCCAAATGTCTGTCACAGAGTTGAACTTTTGTTAGTTGACAGACTTCAGGATGCAAGTAAACACTTTCAAACTGAATTAGTTCTTTTGTTGTCAAAGGATCATGAGTGCTAGTTTCTGCAGCAGAGTAGGTTATTGTTTTATTAAAAGTTGTGATTCTCCCTGTGTGCTTTTGAATATTTTATTTTCTGTATTTATCTTTCATGACATAACTTTTTTATTAGATGATTATATTTTTATACTTCCTTACAAAATGGAGTCTCTCTCCTTCCATCAATATACGTAGCCTGGGTTTCTCCTGGAGGTTTTATTTTGTTGTTAAGAGCATTCTTGTTTTGACTGTGACTCTGGGAAAGATTAGATAGAAATGATTGACAACAAAAGGAAAACAGTTTRGTGAGAAAAAAGAAAATACAGGTTTTCTTTGAGGGTTACAGTTTTTATTTCATRAAAAAATATAGTAAAAGTCATCATTATCAGTCCGAGCCCCAAGAACAAGTTACYATGTCTGCTTCAGTGGTTATTTAATATTTATGTATATTTAATTTTAATTATTACTTTTTAGAATAGTGAATTATCTTTTGGCTAGTTGGGCAACAACTCTGGAATTTTAGTGAAAAAGCCAATTTAATAGAATAACATTTCAGAAAGCTATAAAATTCAATATTACTTCCTAAAGTCATTTGTCTTKCTGTTTTTTAGGGAGATGATCCATATCCTTGGCCAATGTTTTCATCATACCCTTTGCCACCCTGCTATCTGCCAGAAGTTACAAGAAATGCTGATATAAAACAAGGTAAAATATTTACTGTTAAATGACATATTATTTTTAATCCTTTTATTACAATTTGAAGAATGACTGTGTTAAGGTGGATTAATATTGATTTTCCTTCAGCATGTATACAGGGATGTATTTATGTCTGTTGCTTTGTAATTTAAAAATTTCTCTCTCTCTCTCTCTCTCTCTCTCTCTCTCTCTCTCTTTGTAGTGATGGGGATTGAACCTGTGACCTTACACATGCTAGGAAAGTGCTCTACAACTGAGCCACATCCCTGACCATTCTCAAGTTTCTTACTAAATTTTTATGAGGCAAAATAATTCTTATTTCTTGTGGCTGGGGTGTGACAAATTAGTCCAGTGGCAAAATATATATATATATATTTTGCTTTAAAAAGAAATTAGTGATATTTGATTTTTTGAATTCTAGATGTATAGAATGTTTATTTATTTATTCAACAGAGTAGTGGTGTTTTTGTAAGTGCTTTGTGCTCCATTCAAACCTATGTACCTAAGACTCAAAATTTAATGAGAAATAAGGTAACTGTCAACTTTCTTTCCCATTTCAGAAATGGCAACTTTGTTTCCTATTCTTTAGGCAATAAACTTGAWGGTTGTTTTTGGACCTTTCTCTTCATTCCCTGCAAGTAATCTGTCAGCAAATTCTCTTGACTCTGTGTATCTGATATAAAACCACCTCTGCTTCCCCACTATCACTGTCATTTCTCACCTGTTGCAATATTCTACCACGATCATTGTGTTGTCAGTATAGCAGTCAGAGTGAGGCTGTTGGACAACAGATTGGATCATATGACTCTTCTAAAACACTGTAGCGTCTTCCTTATAAGGACCACAATATTTGTGACATCCTTCCTGGCACATGCATTGTCTTAGGGAATGCCATGCAATTTCAAGCCTTGTTCTTCATTTCCCCATCATACTGAGTATGAACTCACTGTCTTTCTGTTCATAAAGCGCAAGTGTTTAAATAAGACATTACTCCCAATTTAAGAGTAGTGCCTATATATCCTCCTAAGAAGAGTGGTGGTCCTGACCTTGATGTGGTCAAATTAGAATGAATACCTCATTTTGATATTGCAGATATTTATGTCACTGGTCATAGATTCTTAGTAGAATGGGCAGAAATTGAGAGAGAAAATTTAAATCATGTCTAGATTTCCTTTGGACCTGACAGTACAGTAATGTATCTCTGTGAATTTAATGAGAAAAATAAAACCAAATATGTTTTCTAGTAGTATATGACTAAATTTAAATAGTGTATTTAAATAGTTAAATAAACTAAGTACTAATATTTAAATAGTTAAATAAACTAAGTACTAATTGTTTACATTCAAAAATACAATGCTTAAGCTAATAATACTTTAAGGCATGGATGTTATTTTAACAGCAAAAGTCACATACTTCCCTTTGTGCTTTTTGATTCAAAAGTAATGATTCACTCATTCTGACAGGTGTTATTTTAGTCATCATTTGCACTGCAAAATTTTGGAACATTGTTTCATTGTTGTGGAAAAAATCACTTCAGTTGTGTGCATATGGTGATATCTCCTCATTTGTCTCCCAGCTTCTAGATTTATCCTTCTTGCTACAGTTAGCATCTCCTCATCTGTTAAATTGTCTCTTGTTAGATCTTTAGCATCAATGTTAGCTGTTTGATGATTCATCTTTATCTATAAATAAGAATCTGGAGACATCATTTTCTTTGTGAAAATTTTTAGTGTCACATATGAAAATGTAAGTGACCCTTTAAGAGCTATTGATTAATATTTTCTCTCTCTCTCTCTCTCTCTCTCTCTCTCTCTCTATGTATACATAACATAAGTTTGTACACATATTCATTCATATATGGGCACATATATAGAGCATCACACATGAAAAATTTGAATCCATTTGGTATCAGTAATTTCTACTTGGAATATAATTTGTTATCTGAAAGTTTAGATAAGTAGGGTGAGTGTAGTAACTTATATTGCTGCCTTTGTAGGTTAAAAAAAATACTGAGGAGAATAAGGGAAAAAGGAGTGTTGTACAGTTGTCAAAAGCAAGTGCTGGTTAGCCTGTTAGGAATTGTTAAAGTGACCTTCAGGAAATTCACTTATGATGTCTTCCCTGTTTGGAACTGGGTAGTCATAAGATGGTGATCTGTTCTGTTTGTTTTTGTTTTTCCAATCTAGACTTTAGGTATCCCGGGAGTAATTGTTATAACCCCTAGCCAGTCCACTCTTTATCACATTCAATTTTGGTGTCCCCAGGATGAGGATTTTTTTCTCATAGGAGGAGGGGAAATGGCACAACTTCCATACTTAGAATTAAAAATGACCTGAGGAATTGAATAACATACTACAGTTATTATTGAAAGCAAGTTATTATTGAAAGCAATAGACATATATCAAAAAGATGAGAAATTTGTTTTTTTACTTCCCTATCATCCCATGTTTATTTTATTACTTTAAAGATTACTTTTATTGTGTTTCTTCAGGCTGACATAAATTAATCTAAATTACACTTATGTTGTATATAATCTTCCTTTCTACTGTGGAATGAAACCATTTTGATGTGAATTTACTCAATTGGGTCTGGTATCTTCAAATAGAAGAGTAAGTTTTTGTGCTTTATTTGTTCATTATTCTTTTGGTATGTTTGTAGTATCACTGACAAGACCAATAGAGCAGTCTAAGCATAGCATTGACTCACAGAGCTGCTGACAGCCAGGCTAGTTGCACTGATTGCCTTTCCCTGATCTTATAAATGTCAATAGGTTATTTGCTGAAAGCCATAAGTACATCAGTAACTTATGATGAAAGTGAACTTCTGAATGTCCCTAGGAACTCCTGAATAGTCACTCTTTGTCAGTATATTCCTTCAGATGACCTCCTTGAAAGGTGACCTCCTCAGGACTTTCTGAGAAGAGGACAGAATGATAATTAATGCGAGCCATTTGTATGAGCTGATATGTTTGTCCTTCATCTCATATCCTTTCCATGGTAATTGTTCTACATGTTCTAAGTCAATCCTACAGGTCTCTTTCTTTTTTCACAACAGCATGCAGTTCACTGGTTTTTAGTATACTCACAGATATCACCAACCATCACCACCACAGAAAAGTTTAGGACAGTTTACCACCTCCAAAAAAAAAAAAAAAATACCCCCTCTTCCATTCATTTAGTCCTAAACTATAAAACCACTAATCTACTGTCAGTCTCTGGAGAGTTCTTAAGTCTGGCCTCTCATTTGAATAAAGTCTTGTAGTATATGGTATTTTGTGACTGCCTTCTTGTACTTTCAATAATGTTTTCAGGGTTGATGCATGTTGTAGCATCTATCACTACCTTGTTCCTCATGTTTGAAAAATTTTTTATTGTATGGATGTGCCAYAGTCTGTTTAAGCATTTGTCTGCTAGTTAGACATTTGGATTGTTTTTACCTTTTGTCTGACACTAACAATTCTGCTATAAATATTCCTGTACAAAATTGTGTGTGAACATGTTTTTTATTTCTCTTCAGTGTATACCCAGGGGTGAAATGCTGGATTACCTAGTAACTCTATGTTTTAAGCAGTTGAGGAACTGCCACAAGCTGTTTGCGAAAACAGCCTCACCAGTTTACATTTCCACCCACAGTACAAGTTTCTGAGGTCTTTGTATCATTGCTAACAGTTGTTGAGATCTCACTTTTTTATCCAGCCATCCTAGTAGATATAAAGTGGTAGCTCATTGCAATTTTGACTTCAAGTCTCTTTATTATTAAAGATGTGAATATTTTTTCATGTGTTTATTGGCCATGTGACATAAGTCAAACTGGGAGAAATAACTATTTTTATCCTTTATTTGTTTTTAAATATTCATTTTATTACTGAATACTTTACATATTGTGAAAGGATTTTATATATTGTAGGTACAAGGGCATTACCAGATAAATGTTGTACTAATTTCTTTCATCTCTTAAACTGCATTAAATTTATGGCTATGGGCCTTTGCTCTTGATGTTCTGTTTTCCTAGAGTACTAATTCCTACTCTTCTTATGGATATTGCCTTCTAAACGTTTTAAACTTAGCCTAAATTTCACTCAGAGAAGTTATCTCCTTGTTATCTAAAATATATTTATTCCTTTGTTTATCTCTCTTTCTCTCTCTCTGGATACTTACTTCTCAAATAGCACTATGTCTTACAGTGAGCTTATGTATTTATTTGTTTATTTATTTTGTAGTCTCTGTTGCTTCCCTTAGAATGTGATTTACAAAGGGCAAAGGAACTCTGTATCTTACATGGTATTATGGTTTGGATCTTAAATGTCCTTCAGAAGGCTTGGGCCCCAGCTGACAGTGCTATTTTGGAGATGGTAGAAACTTTAAGAGCTGGGGTTTAGTAGGAGGAAGTTATGTCCTTGGGGTATGGCCCTGAAGAGAGTATATTTGGAACCCAGACCTTTTCTTTTTCTCTTTCCTGGCTGCTATGATTTAAGCAACTTTGATTAAGCATACACTCTTCAGCATGATGTTTAGCCTCACCAATAGTCCCAAAGCTGTGGGGCCAAGCAACCATGAGCCAAAGTAAATCTTTCTTTCCTTTGTGTTATTTTATTTTGGCACAGTGAAAAAAAAGCTGAGTAACAGGTAGTATAGAATATAATATTATTTATTGAATGATGAATTATCATTGAATTTTTTTCCTTTTTACCACATCATCAAATTCTCTCTCTCAGACTTTTGTCACTAAATATTGGAAATTATTTCCAGGACATTCTGAAGAAAATTTAGAAATTCTTACTCTAAAAATCTCTGATCAGCCTCAATTTCTAGAGCACCCATAGCTTTGCAGTTAACGAAAGCTCCTTGAGTTAGATTTCTGTATATATCACTCATAAAGTAGATGCCTTTATCATAGCTATTTTATCATTTACAAAGTAGTACCTTATATTTTTATGGCACATAATGTTGTGCATTGGTAAGATTACATTCCATTTTTTTTCACAGTTGAGAAGAATAACAAAAGCATAG